TCCTTCCTTGCCAGTGATACAGCTCTTATTGCTTATCTTGGTTAACAAGCATTTGAAAAATAAATTATTTCAATGCATAGCTTCTATTCCTAATATTGTTCATTATTTTAAAATTTTGAATTTGAATTTTGTTTTTTAATCCAATCTAGTTCTTATACTTTTTGTGTCATATTCATGGTATTTCTGTCAGTACTTTCTTTTGTGTTAATAATTTTTCTTGTGTTCTCTGAGAAATATAAAATGATATTCTTTATATGTTTCAGTGGAAATAAAAAGGAAATAGATCTGGGGTAAGTTTTTTTAAAGTTTAGTATGAATTTCCAGCTTTACATTAATAAGACTAAAAAATGTAGTTTTATGTGTGAACACATTATCTGTCATCCATCTCCTACAACTCTTGACAAATGTCATTGGAAAGCTGCTACTTTTACTATTGTGTGTTTCAACCAGAAACGCAGTTTTAAGAACTTGATATACATGTCTTTCAGCTTTGGGTCCCATATATTAAAAGTTAAAGAAAACCTTGAACTCTATTTAAAAACTTCTACAATTAATTAGTCTTGTGACTTTTAGAATTTATACAGTGTCTGGTTTACTCTACAGCCAGATCCATGAATAAGTTTTCCAGATGGTGGAAGGTGACATTTTACCTTACCCCATGTTAGAGCTGCCATGGTATAATCTGCTCCATACATCAGAAATCAATTTATTTTTACATTTGAACTCAGAATTCCAGAGTACAGATCAAAATATTTAGCTGTTTTACTTAACAATCTTTTTTTCCATCTGTAAAGTTTATCAAACTCTAAATTGTTATTTTTACCTTTCATGACTAAGTGTTTCAGTGAAGTGAGAGCCCTGAGGGAAAAGCATGTCTGTCCTTCAGGATTTTGGCTTTAACTCTGTTGCCTGCACCAGCTATTCCCTGTCCACCCTGTGCTGAGTACACTGCATACAGTAAGGGAAGGGATATTGGTGATAATACACTGTTTTGTATTTGTTTAATGCTTTATAATTGTTCCCAAATTATTCTTTCCATATTTAAATCTCTCAGTAATCCCATTTGGTAAACAAGTCATGCCCCATTTACAGATAAAGATAAATAATGCAAAAGAGATTTAATTTCTTTTCTGAAAATTAAATTATTTTCACTCATGAATTCATATGGGAAAACTATATCTCTCTGTGAAAATTATAGTAAGATCATAATTCACATTTTGTGCCAAAATAAATTTCAAACACTCAAACATAAAAATAATATCCAAAAGTACTAGAAGAGAGTAGGATGGGTAGGGGGAGCACAGGTAGTTTCAGCAATAGTGTGAAAAGGCTTTTATAACTTACAAGCAAAATATAAACTCCAAAAGAAAATATTAATATATCACAGATAAAGTTGTAGTTTTCTTCCTTGTTTTTTCTTTTTCTTCCCCAGTACTGGAGTCCTAACCCAGAGCCTCACAGTGAGCTGCATCACCAGCCCTATCAATATCATTCATAAGAAAACCAAAAATTAAAATCATGAGACATCATTTTCACAAATCAGATTATCAAAAATAAAAATAATTCAGTTCTCAGTGCCACTTCTGTGGCAGTGATTCTCAAAATATGCTCCAAAGTACTGACCTAGGGGAGAGTTCCTACAACTCTTTCAGGGCATCTATGAGGTCAAAACTATTTTCATAATAATGCTAAGCTTCTTCATTTTGTTTTGTTTTGTTTTGTTTTTGCCATTTTGCCTGTGTTGACTCTGTTAAAGATGCAGAGGGGAGAGAGAGAACACCTGCACAGGCTTTGCAAGACCAAGGAAGCTGTTTATTTACTCAAGCCCTAGCAGGAGGGCTGATTCCTAAAGGGAATTATTCATGGGTGGGGGCAATGACTTAAAAAGGGCAAGGGTTGCCAGGCATTGGTCTTGGAGTAAGGAGTCTGGGGGCAGAGATAGGGTGGCCTGTGCTCCTCCCACAAGGGACATATGGCTGTATAGAGGCTCTTCCCACTGGCACCCCAGCTGCCGGCCCACAAAGGGGAGAGCCACGGCTTTTCCAACCAGGGATCTGTAACGGTTCTTCCCCCTGACGCCAAGTTGGTGGATGGTGACCAGGTTATGTCATGTCACGGGGCATGACATTGGCCCCTGCATTGATGAGTCAAATCAGTGGTGGTTAAAGCTGTTTGCAGTTCAGCACAAATCAGAGTAGTAGCACCTAATCTTCCTGACATCCCTTGTGTTCACCACTGGCATATACTCACACTGTTAAAGTAAGTTGGGGCAGGAAGAAAATAAGAAATATGGTTTCACTTAAGAATGCTTTTGTTGGCTGGGTATGGTGGTGCACACCTGTAATCCTAGCACTGGGGAGGCTGAGGCAGGAGGATCTCTGGGAGTTCGAGGTCAACGTGGGCTACAGAATGAGTTCAAGACCAGCCTGAACTACTAGCGAGACCCTCCCCACCCAAAAAAAAAAACAATGGGTTTTTTTTTGAAGTAGCAAAACAATGATTTTATTAAATCTTAACCCTTTAGTATATATCTTTTTAACTTAGTCTGTGTGCGGAAATATAAACTATACATTAAACACTCTTACTGTACACTGAATAAGATGGTTGTCTTGACAAAAAATACTGGTGTGATTGAGTTGCAAGCTGAACCTAGCCACTTCTTTTTTTTGCATGTTGCATCATGTTTTGCTTATAAGAACTGACAGACAAACTAGTTGTTTAGGCTTGTGTATTTAATAGGGTGTTTTCATAGACATTTTCTCTGAAATGAACAAACTGAGCTCATTAGTTAAACAAAACAACTGCTAGGAGTTGGTGCCAGTGATAAAATTTGAGATTTCAGACAAAAGACTTTAATACTTTTCTGATGAGCTTGTGAAGACATTACCAAGTGTGAATATTTAATATTGTATTATGAAGTGTGCCTGCTTTTTGGAAGATCTGCATAACTCATTGAACCACCATTTTACAAATGAACAGTGTGTGATTTTAAAAATTCATGCATTTTACATGATTGCACAGATGGATATAAAACATCCACTGAAAATGCAAGATAGACCAATAGATTTTAATTAACAGAGTGGGTAAAGTGCATTAATGTGGCTTTAGAGTCTTCATTACAAATAAACTTTATTATAAGAAAAAAATTATTTGTTGTTTTGGTGGTAGTATGGAATAATATCTAGAGTTATATGAAAAAGCTGTTAAAATATTTCTTCCAACTACATATTTTCATATTTGTCAGTTAAAACTACATTGTAACAGTTAAGACAGGCATTGAAACCAGGTGATTCTACTCCTGTAAAAACTTACATGTAACATATTTATAGTTGTTATTGTTGACTTAATAGATAAATATTTAGGTACTTCTCAGTCTTAATTTTTAATATAGTAAATAGCTATAGATAGATGTAACTCATATAAACAAAGCTCTTTTCATGTCCTTAGTTTTTAACAGTATCAGAAAGTTTAAGAACTACACCCTTTTGGAGATTAAACAAAAATTTTAATTTCATAAAATGATTTAAACAGTAATTCCCACTTTAGGAATTTATGCCACAAATAAAATCTCCTTAAAATGAGATTGTACAAGGTTATTGATTCTTAGATTGTTTGTATTACTAAAAGATTGGAAAACAACCCAGTGTTCACATACCAGTAGAGAAATCTTGAGATATGTGCATATGATATAATACTATATTATATTTTAGGCAGTTATAAATTTACTGATATGAAACCATCTCAAAAATATACTAAATTTAAAAAACTCAAGGTCCCAGAAAGTGTATAAAGTACTATTATATTTGTACAGAATTACATACAGTACATGTACATGCATGGACTGTCTTTGGAAAGATATGCATGAAACTGCCCTAGTGGTTGTCATCGTGGAAGGGAGCAGGAGACAAAAGAAGGAGGAACATACTTTTTAAAAACTGAATACCTCTTGAAGAATTCTTTTTTAAAAACCCCTAAATCTCTATATTTCCTTATTGAAATCACCTTTCATTGACTATATTTATATCCCACTCAGGCTAATTTTTTTGTGCTTTTGAATACAGTATGGGAGATTTTTATGTTTATTATAATTATGTATCCTTCTTTGTATGTAAACCTACACAGTAATGGATATTTAATTATCAGTAATTATTTTATTGCTTTCTTAGTATAAATACTACCTTGGGCACAAGTTGACTGATATAATGAACCATAGCATGTAAATCAATAATTAAAGCAACATAAAAATCAAGCTCCCAAATTAAAAGCTATGTGACTACTCCATTGTGAATGTTCACATTAAGAGATTTAGCTCTGGGTCATTAAAATCTGTAAACCTCATCAGATGGTGAGGGCAATAGATAAAAAGTGAAGCTAAAGAGGCACTGCCTGCAGGTTCCTCAGTAATCTCACCTCTAGAGATATTTGCAAAATAGTATACAGTTTTATAAAACAAAAAACAAACAAACAAACAAAAAACAGCCCGTTGTAAACAAAGTCTGTATTTCCCTTCATTTGGTTTTTTTACTGATAAAAACTTAGTGCATTTTAGAAGCCAGAGTGCTAAGAACATTGTAATTCTTGGAGTCAAGCTCTCTCCTTGAATAAATGGCACTTAAAACTATCTATAAAGATAAGAGTCTGATGTATAAAATAGGCTGTAAAGTAATGTGTTACTATTGACATGCTTATTTTTCTCCTGCTGCCAGGACAATTATGTAAAAGCTACCTTTTGTAAAAATGTTGATTTTAACAGGAAAGCTCAAAGGAAAGTTTTTTTCTAACACTAGGTAAATATTTAATGATAGAAATGATTGAAATTTAAAACAAAACATGGTCTAGTTTGATTTTTTTTTTTAAATGACACACCATGATAAAGCCATGTGTCAGATTCTTTGGTTTTATCCAGATTAATAGAAACTTTGAATAGGAACTTTAATCTGCCATAAATAAACACTTTATTAAGTGGCTGTTAAATGGACTCTTGAAGTTTCTTTTGGCAGATGGAGATGGACACATGGATCACTTGCTGCCAGGCTGTGAAGACAAAAGCTGCCAGAGAAGTACCATCTACCTAGTACGATCTGGAACAAAACAGGTATGCCCGTGCTTTTTGTTTTTAATATAAAAAGAGTTATGTGCTTGAAAATTCTTCAGAGTTTAAGAAAGACATTGGAATAATCAGAGAAAAATTCAAACTTCATTTATCTATCTCATTTTAATTTAAAGTACATTAAAACTTTTTTACTCACTTAGGTAGAAAGTACTGCTATAATCATTTCTGGCGAAGAAAACCCATTCTGAATCCTGTAATTAAATGAATTGTTAGTATTTTATATGCCACAAATTTAATAAAATATACTGGTTATATAAAACAACATTATATGTCTTCAAAATTAACCTTGTTTTTATTTGTGGTATCTAGATCTATTTCATTTTCTAATGCTGATTTTTTACCCATATCTTATATTTCAATGATTGAGTCACAATAGAGTATTAATATGTGAATGAAAGCTTATGCCAGTAGTAGACTTAATCAGCATTGTTTTCTTTTGGGGGGTAGGTTTTTATATCCCTTATGAATAGGAAACATCACATTTTATACTAAAACACTAAAGAAATCATACAGTCAGCATTCTAAAATCATTTTGTTTTTGTTTTCTGAGACAGGGTCTCAATAGGCAGTTAAGGCTGTCCATAACTCGCTATGTAGTTCAGGTTGGCCTCGAACTCACAGTGATCCTCCTACCTTAGCCTCCTGAATGCTGGGATTATAGGCATGCCCACCAGGCCCAGCATTCTAAAATCATTTGACCATTATACATTATACATTATAATAAATTATATTACCTTGAAATTTTTTTTAGGTTTGAATTCATTTAAAACATTAGGTAAAGTACACCCTATTATTGGTTCATAGGTATAAATAAACCTAGTAATTATATCCTATCTTCAAGTGACAAGCTATCACAATATATTCAAATTACAAGGACATCGCTCTCAAAGAAGATAAATGCTGCAGTTCTTTGGTAACTGTTATGGATGTCATAGTAAATGAAAAAATCTTTTTACTTTTTAGACTTTAATAAATTGCCTTAATAGAAATGCTGTTTCCAGTCAATTATCCTCATTAATAAACTCTACACTTAAGAAATTTGTGATAACAATTTTTTGTGACATTTCCCATCTTTTTCTAAAATAAAACCAACACTTTCTTCCAAGTCAAGTGAAATAAAACATCTCAATGATATATAAAATAATACTTGTTTGATAGATGACTGAAAAATTAGTTTAAAATACAGGTCAGGTTTTTTTTAGAAAAAATTTTATGAGATATTGGAGATAATTCTGCTTATTAAACCATTAAATCTGTTTGTTAAAGATGCTATTTTCATATGGTTTACTTGGAGCCACAAAAAAATGAATTACCTGTTTATAAGGGAAAAAAACACTGGGCACATTTGACCTGCTGGCCTTTCAAGTTCGTTATGCCTGCTTTTGTTCAGACATCTCCAGGTTATGTGTCCACATCTGTGCTCTTAGCTAACTGTGGGCACACCTATAATTTCAATAACATAACTTTCATTCTTCAGATTTTTAATGTTATATTAGGTAATTTTAAAGTAAATAAATATAAATAATTAAATAAAATAATAGAAAGTAAAAGTCTTCATTTATAAGAGGTACAGCAGTGAAACGAGAGAGTCATTGTGATCTTTCTTCCTAAGTTGGGCCATCTGAAGGGGCATCTGTATTAGATGATATTATAGTTTACTCTAGTTCTTAACTATTCACTTGAGGTTCTGTTTCTACTTGACATAAATTTTAAGTTGGGCAATTCAGTTACATGAGAACTATATCAGTTCAATCCTGAGGTTCTGTGAGTTTGAAAAAAGCCATCTATGGTTGTAGGTACTGAATTCAAGCAAAGATGACTGGTGATAACTTCTGAGGGCAACTTGCTTTTTTCCCAGATTATCACTCACCTGTTCATCAAAATAAGTAATACCCTATCATATTATCGAAATAATGAGAAATGTTGATTATTTTAATGGATCATTTCTTTTGCAGATGGTTTGGGTTTTTTGGGGGGTTTTGGTACCGGAGATTGAACTCAGGACGTTGTGCTTGCAAGGGAGGCACAATGCCACTGAGCTAAATCCCCAGCTGCAGACGGTAATTTTTAAAAATAACTGTTGAAATCTAATCATTTTTTCTTAACCTGTAGTGGGTTCCAGTCCTACAAGATTTCAGCAATAAGGGCACACTCTGGGGTTTCGTGCCATTTGTACATGAAGAACGACCAACTGAAATTCCAATTCCAGTTACCCTTCATATTGGAGACTACAACATGGATGGCTATCCAGATGCGCTTGCCATACTAAAGAATACATCTGGAAGGTATGAAAATTAAATCAAGTAAGACATATTAATAAAATATCTTCATATGGCAATTTGTAACTAATTGGTATACAGTCCCTTCAAGAAAGGACCATGATAATGAGCTCAGTTCCTATTTCCTTCTGTGATCCTTGAGCTTTCCCTAACTATTTAGAATGCCTGTACTTTTTCATAGATTTATTTACTGTAGAACAAAAATGAACAGATAAAATAAAAAGTGATTTTTCATTCACTATACTTGGATCTTTAAGCATCAAATTTATTTTATAGACAAATGTTCCAATTATATTTTGAGACTGAAGACAATGGTGGATATGAACTGACCCTAGGCTTTAGTCTCAGCCTAGCCACTAACTATCCTTGTGGCCTTAGACAAATAACCTAAACTCCTCAACTTAAAATGAAAGTAAGAACTGTGCTTCTGGCATAAATTAGGTAAAAGTAAATGATTGATTTAGTAAAATACTCTGCACATAACAGATTTTACTTTTAGTTAATATTACCTCATTGTTGCTTGTTTTGTAATGCCATTGGAAATTCCAACATGATTATTATTGCTATGTGTATATATAAAATGCAGATTTATGATATTTCTAGAGATGTTGAAAGCTGCAGTTACTTTTTTTTCTTTTAAGTAGAAGTGCTAGTACATAAACCAGTAGTTACACTTAGCCAGAATCTTAGAAGATTCCATAAAGAAGACTACTCCTAAATTTTAATACTTTACTATTTTACTCATCTTACCATTAGTTGTATTCATTGGACCTGCTTATACTTTCTTGCTCCTATATCTTTCTTCTGAGCATTAATTGATTTGTTGAATCTAGTAATTATTCAAGTTCACATTCACTACAAAAGCTCATGATGCAGTACAGCTTCTCAACAAAAAAATCAGACTCATTATTGCTTTTAATACCAAAAAACATTGTCTAGAAACCTAGTTTTTTTTATAGAAAATTGTATCATTAATGCCCCTAAAATATTTATAGAAAATTATAGGCAAGTCAGTCAGTCATGGTGCTGCACACCTGTAATTCTAGCACTCTGGGACGTTAAGGCAGAAATACTGCAAATTTAAGCCCATCTAGCAACTTAGGAAGACTCTGTTTCAAAATTAAAAATAAGAGGTTAGGGTGTTCATTGTGAAGACTCTGAGTTCAGTCTCCAGTACCAGAAAAAGACTCATGGGGAAACTGTGCTTAAGGTTGTCTAAGGACCTTGATTTGAAAATAGAATGCCTCTAAATTGTTTTACAGAATTCTCCATGGATATGGTCACCATGTTGTTCTAGGGGTTTTATTCATAATCTATTTCTTATCCACCTCCCACTCCCCATACTGGGAATTTAGTCTGGGCACTGTACTGTGGAGCAACATCTCAATCCTTTTTATTTTGTATTTTGAGTTAAGGCTTGGCTAGCCTGGCCCCAACCCTGTGATCCTCTTCCTCGGCTTCCTGAATAGCCTGAATTATAAGTGTGCCACACTGTTTGTGGCCCAAAAAGAAACTTGTAAAATTTCTCTGTTTTGGATATTAGACCTATTCAAAAAAATAAGAAATTGTATCTTATATTCACTGAAGTTATAACTACTTATCCTTAGAATAATATCTAAATAATTTGTATTTTGGCTTTAAAATTATTAACATTTTCTCTTTTAAGTCTTCAAATGTTTAACTTGGGTTCCTTTGTCTTTCAGTAATAATGATGATATATCAACAGCTAATTAAGCAGTGTATAGAATAGTTACACAGGAAACCATCTATAGGTACCAAAGGCAGTCATACTCTTGTAAAAGTCTAGATACTTTTATAAAAGCAGCTGTTTAAATCCGAGAGTTTTTTTGTTCTGTTTTGATAACTGAGAACTGAAGGATATATTGCAGTGTTTGTTAAATAACTAGATGAGAAATGGCCTTCTACTAAAGAGGGAGATGTGTGTCTAGAAAAATTCAACATAGTAGACTCTTGGTAAAATAGGATAAGAAAAGACACGTGCACTTGAATATTTTCTACATGAATTTATTTTTGTTGAAAAAGCGGTTTCTAATTTTTAACTGATTTCAATATTGCTATATTGCTGAGAATTAGTACTGGGTTGATGTTCTTAATTTCAAGGGATTGCTACCTGGAGATGTCTGTCTCCTTTTTTCTGCATATTGTGAAAATCAGGGAGCAACTTGACAGATGAAAATGAAATCCATAACATGTATTTCATGAAAAGAAATTCTAAAAACATAAATTAACTTGTTTTGCAGGTTTTTTGTTTTTGTTTTGACAAGGAAGTTTTTTGGGTTTCTATTTCTTTAAATATCTAATTTGTTATCAGTTAACCTTTAAAATCATATTAAAAGAGGAAGATCTTTGCTTTGACATTTTATGGAGGCAGCAAGTGATTCTAAATGACATAACCAGAGATCAGTGGTTCTACATATGTGCAGTGCAGACCGAAGGCCCTGGTTCATTTTTTTTCTCTGGTCATCCCAGTGCTAGTCAGTTGCCTGTGATCACTGCCATGTTCTGTGTATAATCATGTTGTTTTATTCTTTGAACGTAGGTGTTTTTGGGAGATGAAAGACAAAATGACACTGTTCTGATATTATACTCTTAAGTAAATAATAAAATATATTAAGTGGTATAGTACCTCAGTTCACAAGCTTAAAGAATTTAATCATTCTGGTTACAGAATTTTTTCCATGATTCTGGGCAACTGAATTGCAAGCACATACGTGGATAGGGAAAATGTAATACATTTCCTAATTTGCAATGAAAAAAAATCCCATTCACATTTTGCCAATAAATGTTTGTTAATAGTTTGACAAAGTAAATCTTGTTTAACTATGTCACATACCATATTAGTATTCCAACCATTTTAAACATTACAGAGAAGCATAGGCTATTTTTAACATAATGGCCTACATTCTTAAATTTTACAAGCAAAATAATTAGTTAATCTTTAGACAATAAATAACTACAAAATATAAATTACCTTTATTCATAATTTGTTGACAACTAGTATGTGTGTATGTGTATATATATATAATTTATAAAATTATTACAGCAGAATTATTTTTGTCAAATGTTTCTCAAATTAAAAAGTACTGAATTTAAGAATCATCTCCGCTTCATTATTGGATTTCATAAAATTCATTACTTCTACTGAGCACTTGTTACAAAGATTCCAGAAGTATTTTAACATACAGTTTTTTCTTAAGTCAATTTTTACAATGTAGAGTATTTTAGCAGGCTTTTGACTTTTAATTTTACATTATTCCTGATCATAGTGTTTAGTGAACATCACTAGCTTTGAGACTTCAAATGAGGGAAGATAGTAAATGAGCCTAAGATGGTATGACAAAATGAGAATGCCAAGATATATGTTTTGAAATCTTGTCCTGGAGGATAATTCATTCTCATCGAAGAACTCACACTGGTATGTTGATTAGCCTTCACTCACTTGAGAACTCCAACTTCAGTTTTTTTCCTGGAATAAGATTGCTTATTCTGCCCTAATGAACCCTGTATTAAAATTCTTCATTCTCTACTAAATTGAAAAGCATCTACATATAAGTTATTAGAGAAAAACACTCTCGGGCTCTGTTAATTCCCAAAGGAGTTAAACATTATTCACTCTATCAGCAATCAATTTTAATTAAACTGTTAATAATTAGACTAAATGTATTGCCATAAAGTTGCTTTTTTAACATTTGTTTTAATGTCTTCTAAATCTGTAACTATAACCCCTCATGTTTCTAATATTTTTTTCTTTTTTGTTTTTCATCACACTTGAAAAAGGCTTATTTTATTATTTCATTTATGAATTTTTTTTTTTTTTTTTGGTACCAGGGATCAAACTCAGGACCTTGTACTTTCAAGGCAGGCGGCAGCACCACTGAGCTAAATCCCGAGCCCATGACCATGTTTTTTAATTATTATAGTGGTTCAAAAGATCACCTTTGTTTTCAGTCGTAATTTTTATGAATATTTTATTGTTTTTATATTTATTCCTTTCTGCTTTCCTTTCTTCAGATGCATTTTCATTTTTAATTTAGTTTATTTCATTTAATATTATGTTAATAAGTATTTTTTCCAGGGCTGGGAATCAAATCCAGGACCTATGCATACTAGCCAAGGATTCTACCACTGAGTCACCCCTGTTATCTTCCTAAGCTAATATATTTTTACCCTTTTGTTTTCCTGTGTTACCCAGTATTTGGCTTTAGACTGGATATTATGACCATTGGTGTTTTCATGGTTCTTTTATGTATTTTAAATTTTCTTAATCACAGTTTAGTGCTCCCATGAGTATGTTTGGGGATTGATTTTTACTGTTACTCTCTTAAATTTAATGTATTCCAAATATAAATATAACTTGTGGAATACTTGAGATTTCTCTAGTACTTTAATATGAATGATCATTTGAACTATTATTCATCTTAATTATGTTATTTAAATTTCCTGTATATCCCTATTTCTTTATTATTTACTTTTTAAAGTATGTTAGCTTTCCACTATAAAAATATAGTTAGCAACTTCTCAATCAGTTTTAGTTTTTCACTATAAAAATATAGTTATCAACTTCTCTATCAATTTTAGTTAACATGCTTGCAACCTTGACTATGTGCATAACTTATGACTGCTTTTTTAGGTTCCCTTTATTATAATGAAATATCTTCTTTTTTCGTTTAGTACTTGAATTATTTTTTGTAAATAATATTCCAGTTTCTGCACTTTTTTTTTCTCATCATTTGCAAAGTATTGCTTTTTATTTCATTTTCAGCTTTTCTCTACCATCCCGTTAAGGCAAATTTTACAGTGAGTGAAATGCAAAGTTCCTAAGTTTTGTTGGTGTTTATACCTATGTATACAATACTCCAGTCAACATGTAAAACATTTTCATCACCCTAGAAATTCATTCATACCTTCCTTCTAGTTCATCTCCAGCTTCATAGGTAACCATTCTTGATTTGTATCACCATATGTTGGTCTTATCTGTTCTTGAA